TTAATTAGGAGACCTAATCAGAGCCAATAAGACAAATGCACAGGCCATCCACACACTAATATACATCTTTTGGCAGGCACCACTCCCCACAGGCTTGTCTGTCTGTTGCTGCCTACTCTATGCTTCCACCATGGCAGAAATGATGTGATAACACTAAAACCAATTTGGCACTTTCCACATGAGAGGACGAGTGTATTCCCCACCCTGGAAATGCAGCCTCCAGCTGTCTTGCCCTATGCCAGAGGTTTCTTAATACTCTGGAATTAGCTGACTAAGAGATGCAGCAAACTAACAGAGCATTTGCTATCTGTTCAGGCTGCCTAAGCTTTCCATCAAATAAACTTTGGTTTGATTCTCAGCCCTTTGGGAATGGTTGCCCACAGCTAACATTTGCTACCCCAAATAACCCTGTGGTGACCTTTGCTGCAAAGCTGCAGCCAAGAAAAACCCTGTTTAACATAACAGTGCACATCTTAGCACATCAACTTGAACCATCCTGACCTCTGAGCTGCCAGGGTCTGTACAAATTAATTTTAACAATAGACAGTGTTGAAAGGAAGGAATGTTTCAAAGGAATTAAAAAAATCTCCCTTATCCATCTCTTCTCATTTAAGAAATAGTCAGGAGGCCTACTTTAGAAAAATGAAAAGTGCTCCTTGTTGCAAAACAATGGGCTTTATAAAGGGAGGGGGAACTCTTTGGTTTCTTGCATCTGAGCTTGGCAAGATGAAATTTCCCACAAGTGGGTGCTGCTTCTGGAAAATCAGCCTTTAATTTCCACTGGGGAATTGCCTTTATTTCATGAGATGCCTCAAAGATACCATTGGGGTTTGCCTTTCTTTTTCGTAGCTGCTGCTAAGACTTCTATTAAGCAAATAAGAAAGTCTTCCCTTTTTGCCCACTTCACTGGTTTGTACCTTGCCTCATGTTTTCCAGAGCTTTTGTGTGAATGGCCAGACTGGGAAAGGAAAAAAGCCATTCTCCATATGGTAGTTGGAACTTAAATCAGTTAATGATTGAAGGAGCCATCGGAAGGGAGAAACATAGGAAAATGAGGTCTTCAGCCTCTGGGGCAAAACAGGCTTATCACTTCTGCTGGAGAGGAAGCTGGGTTGGGTTAAGTCTCCAGTGTTTCCCCCAGGGGTAGACTTATTCCTCTGCTCCTCCTCTGCAGCAGCTTTGACTCCAGCAGCCTGTAAGTAAGGAGATTATTACAGCGGGGGGAGGGGGGTAGGTGAATTTGGAGACAATAAGAAATGCTAATGATAATTTAAAAACTTGTGTAGAATTGCTTTAACAGTTTAAGAGCTGTATGTTGAGCATAGGTAAAAAAGATGGAAGCTTATCCTGAAGCATCCAGTGGACTTCAGTAATTGCACCCATGAAACCACCTGTTTTTATTTATTTAGCCAGTGTAATTCAGCTAAACAAAAAAGTTGCAATCCTCATTTCTGGTTTCCTACACAAATGCTTTTCTCTTTGCAATTGAGATGTGCTGCTGAAGGCAGCACAGGGCAGGAATCCAGGGGCATCCCCCAATGGTGCTGAGGAAGATCCCCCTTGAGCAGCAGAGGGGTCTGCTGCCAGCAGGAGGATGGTGGGGAGCTTGTGGAAGGGCTCCCCTCTCCTCCCTAACATTTTCAAAGCCAGGGACTGTGAGGTGTGAGAAGCTGCAAGGGCTGAGGGGGAGAGGACTGGATGTTCAGTGTAGAGGGAGATAAGATAAAATGATATTTCTCTGAACTTCGTGCAGCTTTCAACACACAGCCTTCAAGATCCTGTGAGGTTGTAGAGGTCCTCTTGCAACTAATACAGTAATGACCTTGAATTTGCTTCCAGCTCAGCTGTACTGCTGGAGGACAAGGCATTTCTTGTGAGCAAAAAACATTAAAGCAGCACAGAGCTCCAGTTTTCAAGAGATTTGGGTATCCTTTCTGAGGCCTCACTTGTAACAAGGAATTGCAGATAAGCTTCTGCAGTATTTAATGTGTAAAGTTTTTGGATTTATTCTCACTGCTGCCTCTCCTTTTGCTTGTAGTGTTGACAAATATATTGTTGGGTGCTGTTTTTTTGTTTTATGTGGGTATTTTTTTGCTGCACAATTAAGCTAATCATATGCATGCTAATATGTGCATGCTAACCAAGATGAGTGTGCTTTCATGACATAAGTGTTGTGGAGGGCTTGGGGGGGCAGATTTTTGTTTGCTTTAATTTAAAAATAATTAATAATGCATCTCAGTCCTTTTTCTTGTTTTAGGCTGAATACTGAGTCTTGACTTATTATGTTGTGGCAATCTGCTGTGCCAAACATATGATCACAGACAATTAGAAATTTGTAGTCTCACGCCTGATTTAGGACTAAACCTTTCTATTTCTTAGCAACTTCTGGTTATAAGATATAACAAAGCTGGTGGGGGAATGAGTAAATTGTAACATTTATAGATTAAATTGTATCTGGACTTGCTACGTGACTCAGTGCAAAATATTAGTGACCTCTTCCTTTATGACTTTGACTTCCTGCAAGCTTATCTGTTAAAAAGATCATGAGAGATGCTTCCATTGCAGATCTTGTAAGAAATGTATATTCAGCAGGAGAAACATCTGACTGAGCAAAGAGTAACTTACACAGTGGTTTGGAAACCACATGTTGAAAAGTGCTGGGGAAACACATCAGGCAAAATGATAAAAAGAGATGAAAGCAGTTCAGATGGGTGAAGAATGCTGATTTTAAAATGCGAACCATCTGAACACTGATGAGTGGGCAGGTTGCAATAACTTCAGGGCAGACCTAACTGGCACAACAGCCATATACTGTAAGGCAACTCCCACAGGACATCACCTGCAGTGATTTAAAATTGGAAGGTGTGGGAGTGTCGAGGTACTGCAGAGAGCAATCTTGCAGCAGCAGAGTGCAAGTAGGAAATGGGTCAGTTGGAGTAATAGCTTTCTTCCGTGTGGTTTCTGTGAGCTGAGCCAAGCCAAACATATGTGGAGCACTGGGTTATCACAATCATGATTTTTTTTTTTTCTGTGTGTTAGAAATTGCAATGAAATTTGGTCATCCAAGCGTAACTTTATGAATCCTCCCTCTGGCTGGACACTGCCTTGAGCCCCAAAGTCAGTTGTCTTTGTCGAGATCGTTAAAATGGACGGTTTGGAGACGTTATAGTGCAGTCTCACATTCTCTGGAGGTCAGCAGAAACATCTCTCAGTTATCTCTGCTAATACCACCTGGGGTTTGTTCTCCCTCTACATTGTGGTAGGTGATTTACCCATTTGTGCTGAAACAACTGGATGTGTGACCACACTGAAGTGGATAAAGGGGCTGACCCAGTTTAAAAAAAAAAAAAAAAACAAAAAAAAAAAAAACAAACCAAAAACCCAAGAAAACCCTCTAACCTGTATTTCCCTCCTGTATCAGTTCCACACACAGGGGTGTTGGCAGCAGCAGAGGCACAGTGCAGGAATGAAGGACAGAAGGAGAACGTCTTACACTGCTGTTACTGCTGGCTTCTTTTTCATGTGAAAACACAGTCTTAGTTACAGCCTCGGTTTAAACTTTGCACTCAGCTTTGATGTACTTTGGCAGCTTGCAGAAAGGTGATAGCGTGTGGTGACTGTGGTTTTGGTCCCTCCTGATGGCCAGGGGGAGCAGGCAGTGTGTTATCACAGGCCTGTAAGCTGTTTGGATGTGATGTGATGAGATGGTGGCTCCTGAGGTGCAGGCTGGTAATGAAATCCAAGCTTGCCTCTGCTCCCATTCCCCTTTGCTGATCACAGCTGGCTGGTACTAGTGGCTCCTAAGTCCCACCATTAAGTTGCTATTGACACAAATGGGTTAGGAAAAAATCTCCAGAAAAAGGGGCTTGGTTTATTTTTAATTTGGATCAGGTGAGTGGTTTGTCACTAATTAGTACACTGAGTTACACTGATGATGACTGTGGTGCAGGGAGGTGAATGGTAAGGCTTGTGGGGGGGATTTGCTTCAGTCAGGCTTGTAACTGATAGTCACACCACTTGATTAAGCAAGTGAGTTCGTGTAAGGGCATAGTGTGCTCGATGGTCTAGCAATGTGGTATGTATTTTCCTTGGAACACAGCCCCCTCAGTCAAACTTTGTTTCATTTGGACCATGCATCCCTCCACTAATGCACAAGCTGTCCAAAACCCCCAGGTACTAATAGGGCACATATTTCCAGGACTAGGTCTGACATTCTCTACCTACTCCCTTTTTGTAAAATCTCAATCTTATCCTAAAGGAATGTATTTAGATAGTTGTGCCACCCATTCTCCTTTTTGGGAAATATAAACCCCCTGGCACCTTGATGTGCACAACTCCTTCATGCCACTTCAGTGTGCGTGCAGCATCCATAGCAGAGGTGCAGGAGTTGCTCTTACTCAGGTCTGATACCAGGCAAGAAATGATGCAGCCACTGGGGCTGTGCCAGCTCATACCCGCTGAGGAGGAGGCTCCCCTCTGACCCATTTGCGTGATGCTCTACCCTTCACCCCCTGATAATATGCACCGAACACCATCATTTCCAGGCTGTGGGCAGAGGAGGGCTGCAATGTAGAGCTTGTGCTCCCTGCCTGACCCCTCTGGAGACAGGCTTGCTCACAGTTCCCCTGCGTGAGGACTTTCAGTGGTAAAGACAGCTTCTGTGCATGCAGCCAGGCAGGGGCTTTGCTTTTGCTCTCCCAATGCTACGCTGGGTATAGCAGAAGCAGGCAGGCACATGATCTCCCCAAAGGCAGGATCCAGAGTTACTGTAGAAACTGGCCACCAGCTTCTTTTGCAGCTAGCAGCTGTCACGGTGTGGTTACAGCCAAAGCGTGTCACTCCTACAGTGTCTGCAGGCTCTGGAGTGTGTTTCTGCTACTGAATCCTTTGTGCTACTGCCTGGAGATTAATTCTGCACCATCTATCAGTATGTGTTAAGATATTTCTAAGTTGTATTTGTTTTTTGAATGATTTTTAATAGTATTTGATGTTCTCTACAGGTTTCATTTTCCTTCACCAATACTTCAAGGCACAGAGGAGGTGGTAAAGGCATTGCCATGAAACCTAACTTGAAGCAATGGAAACAACTCATGCTTTTTGGTATCTTTGCATGGGGCCTGCTTTTCTTGGTGATATTCATCTATTTTACAGATAGCAACACTGCTGAACCAGTTCCAAGTTCCTTTTCTTACATTGAAACCAAGAGACTTCTGCCCCTTCAGGGCAAGCAGAGAGTCATCATGGGAGCCATTCATGACCCATCATTCTCTGAAACCATTGATGGGAACGAGGTACTTCTTAATGAAGATCTCCTAGGTACTTTTAAATCTGGGACTGCAAATTCTAAGAAATGGACTGTATTGGAAGAGGACTTTAGAAATGAAGATGAGTTTTTTCCACCCCAGTTAGGAAGAAAATCAAAAAGTGCTTTCTATCAAGTGAATGATGATTATTTATTTGCTGCTGGTCAGCCTCAGTCACACAACCGCCTTCAAGAGACAGAAAAATTCATTTCGGCTGATGTGAATAATCCAAAAGGAAATGTTTTACAGAGCAACTGGAGCCATCAGAGAAGAACGAGGAGAAGGAGCACAAAGCATAGGAGAGGCCAGATGCTTAATGAATCTGATGACTGGGATGGGCTGTATTCCACAATGTCGAAATCCTTTCTTTACAAGCTTTGGAAAGGGGATGTCTCTTCCAAGATGCTAAACCCTCGACTGCAGAAGGCGATGAAAGATTATTTGAGTACCAATAAGCATGGGGTGCGGTTCAAGGGGAAGCGAAACTCCAAGTTGACAGGAGACCAGCTATTCTGTGAGCTAAAAGAAAGAGTGAATGTGAAAACAATAGATGGCAAGGAGGCTCCCTTCTCCACTCTTGGATGGGAAAAGCACGTTCCCCAAATTCCACTGGTCAAATTATATACACATGGCCTTGGGAGCTGTGCAGTAGTTATGTCTGCTGGTGCAATACTGAACTCCTCTCTGGGGGACGAAATAGGTGGGTGAAATGCATCTATTTGTGTGTGTGTGTGTATGTATATGCATGTTCATGTTTAAATTTTAAAAGTTTCATGCTTCTCAAGCACAGATCTGTAAAGTCTGGTTGTTCTCTCTTACTACAGTTGCATGAATGTAAACTAATGGACTTCAGTGAGGCTGTTCCCTTTCAGAACAATATAACTGAAAGGAAAATCAGGCCTGAAGTCATAATCTAATTTAAAGAAAACAATGATGCTTTCTTATCATATTACATCTTGTAGTAGGGAGGCAGAACTGGTTACATCAGATCTGCCACATTCAACATTTGTGTGCAACTTGCATTTATTTCTTCAGCAGGTTAGAGCTGTGTTCAGGTTTTATTCTGCAAAGCTGTGTTACACTGGCCTTTATTTTGCAGTAGCTCACAACTGCTGCTGTGTGGCTGGCCGAGACATTTGTCTCCATGTCAAGAAGCAGTAGAGTGTCCTCTTCATCTCTTGCTGGTTTAGAGTTCAGAGACATAAGGAATTCAGACCCTTGAGTAGCTTCATGCACTGACATCAAGTCCCCTGGCCTCTTTTCTGAGACTGAATTTCAGTGAGTTCAAGTGTGTTCACCCATTGTTTTCCCATTGCCGCACTGAGTCAGTGAGGTTACAGGTGTGCTGAGATGTCAGTGTCACTCAGAATCCCCCACCTCAAGGTGGGAGTTTTGTAGTAGCTATTCAGAAAAGGATGGTGGGACCATAAAACTAGTCCAGGCCACTTCTATTTTTTTTCTTTTTAAATATTGCTACTACCTGTGTTAATATCTCAGTAGTTCTTCATTTCAGTAGTACATGTGCAGTATGGTAAGAGTGTTGAAAGAAGGATGAAAGGTTTCAGAACTTGTTTCTGAAACAAGAAGAGTTATCTCCTTCAGCACTCCATAAAAAACCTTTTGATGTTCACTCATTAATCCTCCCATCTTCCAGGACTTCACATCCCAATACTTGCCTCATCACTCTGTGTCATCTCTTTGACACCGATAGGTTTTCTTTAAATCTCTGGGATAAGTTGGAGCTTCTAGGATTATCAAACTCTTGCAATGGGCTTCCAGCACAGCAAAGGTGCCCAGCTAGCCTGCACCTAAAATCACACTAGGGTAACCCCTAATTCCATAGGAAGCCTTGCTGGTGTAGAAATCTTTGGGGTGAAAAAGCTTAGCAGTTCCTACCTTCTCCAGCATGTTATCTTTGACTGAAACAGAATCTTCTGTCAGTGCTCCCCAGTACAACCAGTTTACACCAGTATGGATTAGTGCTGTACTGTAGAATCCATAGCACATTGTGACATATTTACATCATCATGTATTACAGCATGTTTCAAGTCATATTTGCACACTCAGGTGCAGCCCAGACATGGACTTGGGTACTTGACATAGTACCTGGGGCCTGCTTGCTCCTGAATGCACCCATTTGCTTAGGAAGCTTCTGGGCACCGAACCTTATGTCATTTCCTACAGAAGCACTTTGGATTTAAATGGGAAATTGTCATCTGGTGCCACCTAAAGGGAGGAAGATTGCGTTTGAAAAAGCCCACATAGAATTTTTAGATCTCATACGTGTTGTGCAAGGAGATGTTGGGGCACCAGCAATCACAGAAGGTTTTTTATAAGACTCTCTCAGGGCAGACACCAGTGATTGGGGAGAGGATTTGGCCCAGACTGTGGGGGGCCAAGTGACTGCTTAAAGCAGTGGTAGACAAGGGAGAGCAATTTTAAGGTAAAAGAGAAGAGGCTTAAGTTAGATGTTAGGAAGAAATGCTTTACAGTGAGGGTGGTGAAGCCCTGGAACAGATTGTCCAGAGAAATTGTGGATGCCCTACCCCTGGAAATGTTCAAGGCCAGGTTGGATGGAGCTCTGAGCAACCTGGTCTAGTGGAAGTGTCCCTGTCTATGGCAGGTGGTTGGAACTAGATGGTCTTAAAGGTCTCTCCCCACCCAAACCATTCTGTGATTCCATGGTTTATTCTCCCAAGAGAGGAAAAAAAATACCTATGAAAGTAATGAAGGACATTTCCCTTCATAGGCCTTTAGCTCCCTCTTCTGTGTTCCTATTAGAAACACAAGCAAAAATGTTAATTTGTGTTCTGCCTTTTGCCCTCCTCTCCCCCACCCCTCTGACTGTTTTTAAATGAAAGTAGTCATGGAAATACTGTACAAGTATAGCAAACACTCCCATTGTGATCATGATATTAATTGAGAGAACCAATTATTTTGGCATCATAGGAAGTAACAGGGATCTGTGATCAAACCCCAAAGGTTTTTGATCTTTAAAATGCTTATCTACAAACACATACTAGGATTAAAATCAGTTTATTTAAAACCAGCTATTTTTGGCAAAGAAGAAGTTTTTCATCTGTCTATGAAGAATCAGCATGAGTGTTGTTGGAAATGCATCACGCTGTCTCGCAATTAAGCTGCAAATCATACGATTTCCATTTCATAATCCAGTTCCCAGTCAACAGATTGTCTAAAAGTTGTCAATCATGGGTCCAAATTTATGTTCTTAAATTCATTACAACAAACTTGTGTTTTTCTTTTCCTTCTCCAAATATGTGAAGTACCTGCTGATTCTTCATTTCCTTTAGTTCCTGCACAATCAAGATGCTTGGTAGATGAAGTCTGGGTGTTGAGGCTAGGGCTGTCCCTGCATGGGACACAGAATAAATTTCCACTCATAAGGTTCTGAAGAGTTGGGTTTGGTGGGCATCTGGCAAAATCCCTCTTTTCAGACATGACATATTAATGCTAACATGTATGTCTGAGATCAGACTGCTGGCTGCATGCCACACCATGTTTCCCTGTATGGAGTACAAGAAGTGCAGAGTAAAGGAGGGAAAAGATGAACGATCCCAGTTTGATAGGAGCAAGCCAAGACTCCATTGGCACGTTGGTTATCTTTGGAGACTTTTGCCTCTTCCAGTTTTTGAGCTACAGATAACACATTTTACATGACTAGAGATGAGCAGCTGTACAGACTACCTGTGGGTTAAGATATTTCATATTCTCAGCTTCCATGGACAGAAGGGATAAAAACAGACCAAATACCACCTACCGGCAGGGGCCATTGTTTCTAGACAGTGGATAAAATGTCTTGCTCTCCTTCACACCTTTTGGGCTTTGAGATCCCCTTGAAAGGAGCACTGGGAGGGTGATTACCTCTTATCCAATGGAGGCTTGCATGTGGTGTCTACCCTTGACCCATACTTGACCTAGAGCTGCTTTCTCTTCTCCATGACTCCAACGTCAACTGCTTGTGCAGTATCTTTGACAGTTCAGCTCTGTTAGATCTTTGCTACCAAGATCCTCAGGTTTCTTTGTGTGAGCAGATGTGTGGGCTGGCTGCCATACAGAGGCTCTTTAAGATTTGTACTGAGCTTGAGAATATGTACACAGTATGATTAATAGATTTGGGGTAGTCTGAGATTTTCACGTATTATAAAATACTGTGAAGCACAATCTTGTAGTTAAGGATTGTTGTTCATTCAAATGTGCAATTAGATATCCTTGCAGTTTACATGCTTTTCCATGGAGTAATTATCTGTAAATTTTGTGATAGAAGTAGTGAGCAATTGTGTGTACTGGGTGTGCTAATAATCTTCCCACAGTAAGTCTATCCAATTAAGAGAAGTATTTTAGTATTGCATGCTAAATTAATAGATTAATCTGAACTTTTTTCCCAGTGGGCTTTTATGTTAATAACATAGGGCAGATGCAAGAGGATTTTTGTTTGTGCATAGCAGAACATTCATCATCCTTAGAATATCCAGATTAGGACAAATGTGTAAGCTTTGTATTAGTTTAGATAACTGGTTTTATCTTACTGTTCAGCATGCTAAGAAAAAAGAGTTACCCCCTCATTTGTGCTTCTAGATTCTCATGATGCTGTTTTAAGATTTAATTCTGCTCCAACACGTGGCTATGAAAAAGATGTTGGCAATAAAACAACCATGCGGATCATTAATTCTCAGGTAAGATCTTCCTTTTCAGAGTTCAAGTCAATGTCTCTTCCGTACAATAGGACAGGAAGTTAATAACCTCTGAAAAAATGTTGGGTAATATGGGAAGCAGGTAGTGATTAAACAGTTGTGATGCAGAGAAGGTGAAAGTTTTCCCTTACAGGGATGTTTGCACTGCTGTCAGTGTAGAGTGGCTCGATAGCCTCGTTTCAGAGACCCAGTTTGCAAAGTTTCTCATGTGAACTGATCTGTGAAGGCTCTGCAGGATGCCAGAGAGCTGTCAGCACAGAAGACCTTGACCTCCTGGAAAAGCCATTGCCTCCAGGATTTTCATGGAGCTCAGGCTGTGGTGATTCCAAAGCTGTTTTCTCATATTTTCCAGTTCTCCAATTATTTCCTTGCTGGAAGGCAAAAGAAATGGGAACTGAGTTGTGTAACACTAGGCAAGTCATCGTGGTTTAAAATTTTGGAAAGAACTAGTAAAAAACTGTAGTGTGTTCTGGGTATTACACATCAGGTGAGTTTGTTCATTTGAATGGAAACAAGAGAAAATGGGATTTTCTGTGTATGGGTGTAAATAAATAATTGTGACTTGAGCTACAGTGACACCTTATGGTTGAGAGTAGTTTTTCAAGTTCAAAAATGCTGTTGCCTGAATTCCTGTCTTGGGCAAATCAAACCTCTTTCATTTTATGAAATGCAGACAAAAATCAACAAGAGAATTTCGGTGAAATTTTATGACACACTGAAATGAGTTTACTTAATCAACACTAGGAGTACGGTTGGCCATGTAGTAAGCTCTGCACATATTGATTCTTGTTGAAGGATAGCAAAATTTTCAGTTACTGTAATTTTTTTGAGTTCGTTTTTTTGCTTTGAGTGGCTGCCCAAGCTAAGCCTGTTCTTGGTGGGTGTGTTTTTTATGTGAATAAGTTCATGTTCTTTGCCATCAAAAAGAGGACTGTTTGCTGTCATTCACTTCACTTATTTTGTAGGTATTTGTGAGGCTGCAGAACAGACTAGATCTTTTAAGTGATTTGGGTTAAATATGCCCCCTTTCTTTTGTTCACAAGAAGAAAGCAGAAATATCTTATTCTGCTTTAAGTGCTGTAATCAGTGTATCGGGGAACATGGATTTTCATGTATTTTATTTTACTTTTTTTTTTTTGGGGGGGGGTTTTTTTGGTTTTTTTTCCCTTTTCTTTCATGATTCTCTGTTTTACTCTTAGCCAAAATGTCCTGGCATTGACCATGCCTGAACTCCTGAACTGGGCAAGGATAAAGGTTTAGAAACTCTTTATAGTTTACTAGATTCAGTAGGCTTCCTGTGGAAGAGGGAAATGGTCTCAGGGGGTGATCTGGGCTTTTTAGCTCCCCAGCACATTCAGAAAGATTGTGGTTAAATTACCTACTCCCCATGCAGGGCAGACTGGGGTGTTCTGGCTCCCAGAGCTGCTGCAGTACATTCCCACTGGGATGGCAGTGGAGGGTCCTGTGGTCTTCTCTTCTGCACTGTGTAAGCTTGCTCCCCATAAGACCTCTCAAGAAATCAGAGAGCAAAGTTCTGGCCAGGTCAGCTCACATGGCTTCCTCACAAGTGTTTGTGTTCCCACCAGCTTTGTGCTTCTCCAAAGAGGTTAGAAGCCATCCATGGTGGTCTGTCCATCTGGTGAGAAGTTAGCCTTGCCCTCTCTGAGACTGAAATCTGCACAAACCACTTGATGGAAGTTGCTTTCCCTACCTGTGCTGTCGCTGGGTTACCTGTACGTGTTTACTGTGAAAGCCCAAAGGATATGAAGGAAACCTGTGCACTGGCTGCAATAACAGTACTAGTACTTTATTGCAGCAAAAACTCATAGGTATGAATGCAGACTCACTGAAAGTGAAATTTGTGTGGACAGCACCTCCAGAGGTCTTTTGTTTACTGAAAGGCAAGTGAGAGCTCCTTTGTGTGCTAAGTGTGGAACCAAGCTTTTAAAATCTTGGCCTTTTGGTCAATTTGCTCTGTATACTCAAAAAAGGTGTTTACATTCTGAAGTGAAAATTGTTCTGAGAAATTAAGTTGGGGATGCTTGCTGATAGCAGCATGACTAATTCTGTTCTTACTGTAGAAGGCTGATGGAAATCATTAAACTCAAAGTTTATGGTAGGAAGAATATTGCTATGGCAACAATATTATTTTTCTGAAGAAAAATATGCATAATTAAATATGGCTCATTGGATCCTAAAGGGAAATGAAAATTATTATGAATTTATTTGTCTGGAATGTTGATTATTTTAACAGCTGGAAGAAAATTCATGCTGTTTTTACCAATGCTGAACTGCCTGGCATTGGATGCGCCAGGAATCAAAGAGATCTAGTTAGACATGGAGGGTTCTGGAAGGGATGAGCCAGCAGGAGTGAAGAGTAAACTTCCACTGTGGAGAGATGATCAGGCAAAGTAGTGGGAGATGCAGGAAGGAGTTATATGAGAGCAGCAGATTAGAGCAAAATGGCAATTCCTTCAAAAATAGCCCTGTAATATGTGTAACATGCCTGGTTATTGGAATTGTTTCTCTAGGTATTCCAGTTTGTACAGTCATGGCCTAATTTGCATTTTTTTTCATTGAAATAACACCGATTTTCTGTTAAAATGAGAAAACCATGAAAAAGGTGGTTGGGGATAGGTGACATTAGAGAAAGACATTACCCTTGGGGGCTGTAGCCCTTCAAAGAAAGCTGCTCCATGTCCAAGAGGATCCCACAGGTGATCTGAAATACTGTTTCATTTTTGAGTTCCAGAGTACACGGTAATGTTGATACACAATAACACAGCATCTCAAGTGGTACCATCACATCCCTCACAGATGGAGAGTAATTCAGCATACTGCTACTTCAGACTGTCATGAATGCTGTTTATGGCTAAGCTTTTTTTGTATATTTTTTTAACAAAACAAGATGCTTAAAATCAACCAGAACTGAAGCATAACAAACAGCAGCGTGGGTAGGACTGTTCACTTGAGAGAAGGATTTTGCCATTTTTCTGGATCCCGCTTGCTTTTAATGCGGTGGAATTCTTTGCATTTGTGTTTGCAGATTCTCACCAATCCCAACCATCACTTTGTCGACAGCTCCTTGTATAAAGATGTTATTTTAGTAGCCTGGGATCCTGCTCCCTACTCTGCAAATCTGAATGTGGTAAGATATCCACTTAGACCTTTTTTCCCAGTTATTTGAAAGTACTGGAGAAAATTAATTTACTACTTTAGTCTCCTGGTTCTCCCTTTTCACCATCAGCCCCAGGTTCTGTCTGTATCTGAGTGGAGAATGCTATGTCTATAGGAATTGGTCAAAATTGGTTTATTGGTCAAAAACTGTTTAGTAGCCAGCAATTATACTGGAAGGGACTGTTCTGAGATGCTAGGATAGATGAATGGTGGCATTTGTTTGATAACACATTCCTGTTTTCACATAACAGTGAGTTTTCTGTGTGTTTGCCAAGGAGGGAGCATTGCTAGATTTCTGGAGTAGGTTTTATCAGGAAAGGTGAAAAACTGCATCAATTTTTCCCCATCTTGCCCTCTGCCTTCCCAAACAAAATATAACATCCTAGTGAAAATCTCTCTGGGTGCCTTCCCCATTTCTCAGGCCTCCTCCCCACCACCATTCCCTTTATGTCCACTGTCCCACAGCCATCTGTGCCCTGCCGTCCACCCCCTCACTGAGAGCAGCAGATGTCCATCTGCTTGTCACTGGGGGAGTCTCCACTTTGGCTGTTGCTGCAGCCCCAGCAGACAAGTTGATCTGATGGCTTTTGGCACAGGGAGCTCGGAGCTGAGCAGGCTGCAGAGTAGAAAGTAAACCTTCATCTGCTGCACTCCCTTAGCAACAGATGCCAGGGGCTGCCTGCTCCCACGCAGGCTCCATCAGCCTGCGTCACGGCTCTGCTGCCTCCGTCAGGGACGGGCACGCTTGCAGAGGAACACTCACCCCCAGGCCCAGATAGCATGCTAAAGCTCTTTGAACCTCTTCTTTAATGTGGATCTGTGGGGGAAAAATGGTCTTGGCTCATCCCACAGCAGTCAATTACTTATTGGGAGTTTCTGTATGAAGGGAAGACGCAAAACAGCCCAGAGTGAGGAATGTCTTTCTAGCAGAAGCATCCACCAGTGCAGGCTGCTTTGCTACCTTTGCTTCTGTTCTGCAGAACCCAAATGAAGGCAGTTTATGCTATTGTACATGTAGTGTTCAAAACATGTTTCTTACTATTAAAAACCATGTGACTTTTTTCCTCCAGTGGTATAAGAAACCAGACTACAATCTCTTCACTCCCTACGTACAGCATCGCAGGAAGAATCCTACCCAGCCATTCTACATCCTCCATCCAAAGTTCATATGGCAGCTCTGGGACATCATTCAGGAGAACACTAAAGAGAAGATACAGCCCAACCCTCCTTCTTCAGGGTTTATTGGTAAGTGTACCAAAGATGGTCCCAGTAGACATGTTAGATTAAAAAAATAATTTCAAACGTATACATTGCATGAGGATCAAGTCCATACATGTGTACTGTGTGCTCTATACAGAATCAATGACTAGCAAAAACACACAGTATGAGAACTAGAAAACAGCTGGGTGAATTTGATGTTCTGCTTTCTTGCCCTTTGCATCCATAGTATGTCTATCATATCCATAAAACATGCATATATCTATGAGAAATTCATATTATTCCATATTAATGTATCTTTTGAGGACCTAGTCAATTCTGAAGTTCCTCATTGGGATCATAGAGCAGAGAATCCTCAGATGACAGGTTATGTAGACAGGATGAAATCAATGGCAGGCTGAGCTGTATTCCCTACATAGGCCAAGGGCTTCTAGTGCTCAGTCGGAGCACTTCTCTTCTTCACTGGAAGCAATAGAGTTTCACTGTATTTTTTTTGGTCCTTCCTTAGTATTTCTGAGGGCACAATTTGGCACTCTGCCCACAGCAGGTCCTGTGTGTGGACAGGTCTAAAGGATGTAAGTAGGCAGAGTGGCAAGGCTGAGTCAGGATCATCCTGGCTTATGCTTCTAGACTCATGGGGCAGTAGAGCTTCAAATACCATCTTCTGCTTTGGAAACTCCATCCTTTCCTCACTGGCATTGTGATGTTGATCTGATAGGTATTTGCTGCAGTCAGAAAATGGTTTGGTTTTTTTCTTTGTATTTGAATCTGAAAGCAAAGACACCTGAGATGGCATCTGATATGGGAAAACCAGTTTTGAACATTTATCTTGGGTTCTGTATGCAGTAGTGGCATCCTAGGTCACTTTGGAGAACACCAAAGGCCTTAGAGAGGGTGCAGAAGCTCCCAGACGGAGAATACAAAGGTTTCCGGGAGATGCTCATCTTTGCCTTGAGTGTGTTGTGCATGCTTGGAACATGAGTGGAAGGTAAAGGAGGCCTGGTGTGTTGTTGGAGGGGGCCTTGGCAGTTGGTTACTTCTTGAAGGGAGGGTTTTTTGGAACCTGCTTGTAAAAATTCACAGGGAGAAGACAGTTCATGTGAAATGATCTCACCAGCTGCATTTTGCAAAAGTGTTTCTTGTAGCAATGAAGCTGTTGATAAAAATAGGTTAACAGCTGCTGATTGTAAGAATATTGAAGAGGATCTTTGTGCTGTCAATCTGTACTTCCACCACACATAAAAAACACTTCAAAAGCTTTCTTTGAAGAAATGGAATTAATTTCTCTATGAGACTAGAACAGCAATCTTCAATCCCAAATCTAAATGTTAGTGACAAAAAATATCCTTCAAGCAGAGAATGCTTTGAAAATATAAACCATTAAACAAGCAAAATTTTAACAACAAAAGCTGTAAGATAAATATACTCTGTGTACAGAGGCAAATTTGCCACCTTCTCTAGTGGGAATTTTATTTATATTGTTCTTTTCCAAGGAGCAGTGCTTTTTGGTAGGCTGTAACTAACTTTAAAGAACCAAGGTATTAAGATAAGCTTATTGGATGTCGTATCCACCCTATTTCATAACCAGCTACTGTTCTGACAGATGTATTTTAAATATTTTATTGGGGAGAGTCTTCCTGTTTTGATAACCTTATTGAATTAATGTCTATTTATTGCACATGTAACATAATCTAAGTACAAAGGTAGCAAAGAAACAGCAACTGCATATTGTCAGGGACATAAAGGGTAAGATAAAGCATAAAAAATAGAATGCAGCTTGGCAGAAAGCTGAAAAGTCCTGTTGGTCTTCAGTTCAGGTATCTCTCAATCACTCATGCAGCAAATAATCCTGTTGGAACTGAGGCTGGCAGACACAAATAGTGTACTTGTATGAAAGGGGAATGCTGAATATTGAGCTTCTACCTGATCTTATAAAATCTATAAAATTATTTCCTATAGAATTAGTAGAAAGATTGAGCAAGTGATGGCCATCATAAAATATGAGTGTCTTAGTTTCAACAAGAGAAAGTAATTTATTAAATTACCACACTACTAAATGCCACTGTACTTAAAACAGCTAAATTAAGGAAATAGACTGTTGTTAAATAGGGGTATGAATTTTTACAGAGATATACATTCCTGCATCTGAGCAATTTCCAGCAAGGACTATGATGATTTTAATCATATAGAAAAGGTTACAAAAATGGTTCTGAGTCAAGTGAGGCACTTTTGTTCCAAGCTTTTTAGCTTCCATTAGGCCCAATTTACAAAATTGCTCAGATGCAAAAATTAAAACATGGAAACATCAGAATGTTTCTTTTCACAAATGTCAAGAATGTTTCAGCATGGTCTTACACTGTTTCTTCAGTAATTACATTTTTCTCCTGACAATTGTATATTTTCCTGCTGCTTGGCACTATTTATGAGAAACTGAATCTTGCCAAAGGGAGGATGTTGGTGGAATGTGTCCTCAAGGTGTTCTGCAGCAATGAGTCAGCATCCTTCCACAGTGACTTATGTCAGGGGAATCTTTTAACATGGTTAATAACTGCATTACAGTACTTAAGTCACAATATTATTAAATCTCTCAGAAAGGGAGCCAGTGGGGAAGAGGAAGTCTCTCACGTGCTTTGATTTTAGAGGAATGAGAGAGACAGAGAAGAGGTAGAACTTCTCCCCTGGTTTTTCACTGCGTGGGAGCTAGGGGAAATAATGGGTTTTGCCCTTCCTGGACTCCCTGCCTCCCTCAGACCCTGCTAGGTCAGCTCTGCACTGGCTCAGTGTTGCTGAGGAGAGGCACAGCAGCATTTGACAGCTGTGGCTGGGTGAGGGAACCACAGGGCATGTCCCATCTGTGGAGGGGAAATAAGAGGATGGGAAGAGCAGGATTGGTTTGGGGAGGGATGGTTTGTGGCTAAAGGTCCAACAGGGTAAACCAACCTTTTGATTTTCATCTGGGAGTCTCTTTTGGTTTGTTTCCTGAGACACCAGCGTGGACTTTAGCTGGCTTATAACTTTGCCTTTTGTGACATGTCATAGCTTAACTAATGCCACTCCTCACAATAAAACATTTCTTTGTCTTCCTAGTCTAATTCTTATGAGAGCTTTGAGAAGCCATTTCTTCATATTTTTGCATTGCTTTTGCAGCTGCTGCCTTCACGCTTCTAAACAAATTTCTGCACATTATTCTCATCATCTTGCATTAGCGTTAGGCAATTGCCATGGTGGCTTTTCACAGTTAAAGTTGTTGGTTCACATTTGGCTGAAAATAAGTTTGCTAAATGAGTATTGATATGTTTACATCTCATCTTGGACTTGGATCTATGCCATTTTTCTCAGAAGACAGATAAGCTTCCAACCATCAAACCTCAGACTTGGATTCCACTGGCAAATCCTGAATTAACACTGTTACTAGGGAAGGATTTGCCCTACCTTTTGGCAGAAGTCACCTCTCACTTCGTGTTAATAAGTCTTTCATTGTGAAATGTGAACTCAGTCTTCCTCCCTTCTTTCTGTACATATCAAAGCTGAGTTTTTAATTGAATCTGATAGTATATAAAGTGTCAGTCACTAATGTTGCCATTCTGCTGTAAGAACTGACTGTTCCTGTACTGTCTTTGGTAGCCAATGCAAACAGCCTATTCTGACTTTAAATTTTTGTCATCTGAAGACCCGGAGTAAAACTGCAGAGTTTCCCAAGGGAAGCACTCTGTGCTCATTGGATGGGATGGCACATTAGCATTTGGAAATTCTGAGAGTTTTTTAATAATGTCGAGATCATATAAAGGCTTTTCTGTGGAGATTTTGCTCCTGTCCACTGTTTACTTAGTGGATTTTCTATAAATTCTTACTTACCATAGCCCATCAGTACACTTTCCTGATTTACCTCTTCAGACATGACTTTAATTGAAATTCACATTTATGTACTGTTAGAGAGCAGTGACTTTTATCTTTTTAAAAGCTAGCTGAAAGCTGCGACTGCAGTATTTTGGTTTGTTTTCAATCAAAACATGACCTGTGTAGATTCTTACATTTTAGGTTGTCACTGTAGGTGGTAGTTTTGATATGTGCTAGAAATTTTAGCATAACATACAGTCCACTGAACACAAAATAACTAAGCCCAGGTTACTTTATTGTTGGGAGAAGGGAAATGTTGTTTGAAGCTTTACAGTTGACATTCCAGCTTTAACAGTTATGCATCAGTAATAGTCGATAACATTATTTTAATCTTCATTTGCATGCATCAAGACAATAGTACAAGCAAGGCTATCATTGCACTGCAACATTAGCAGGTTGTTGTATGACTAAGAGCCTAAATTTAAAACAGCTTTGGAGAGCATGTTGCATAGCAGTATACAGCTGACCTCCAGCTCTGCCTAGAAAAAAAATGCACTTTCATGAACTGAAAGGAACAAATGGACAAATTAAGAGTTGCCTTTGTTGCTGTAATTCAGTTGCTTTAACAGCAGTTGGTGCAGGAGCAGAATAGTGCTCACTCTTGTCAGCTCAGTGTTAGTCAAGTATTAGCCCACAAATAAATAATACCTCAAATACATAAGCTTCAAATTATTCTTACTCTAATAAAAAGCACACTGAAATTTGAGTATCTCCTCCCACTTCTCAAATTGGAGACATAAAAGAGCAAACTCTCCTCTTAAATCACATTTAAAAATTTATTATTCTAGTGTATCACCCAAAATTAAACAATACATTTAGAATTACATTATATTACTGGTCAGTATTTTCCAGTCTGTGCTCATGTTACAGAATGTATTATTGTGATTAATGTAGAGCTTTTTGCATTCACCAAGTTATAAACATGTAATTTTCAAGGTCTACTATGTAATGCTAGTATCTATACATCAAAGATGACAAGTATTGCACAAATTATTAAGCTTAGGCACAGGGCCATTTGGTGACAATTCTTTGATAAATAATTTGTTTTTCTTGTGGTTTATATTTTTCACATAGTTCATGAACTAAACAGAGGCGAGAGAACCCTCTTTAAGAAACAAAGTGTTTAAAAAAGCCAGAGCTATTTTTACTGCCTGTACCAAAGAATAACTGAGGCACATTTGGCCCAGTTTCAAGGAGTTTCCTGTGGTATCTGCAATTCAGTCAAGAGAGACTATAGTAGTAGACTATCATATAGAAGATTATACCTTCTAAATGCTTTATGCTTATTTGTAATGCTTTCAAATATACAAACTTACTAGTATATGGAGCTAAATTATTTTCTGTAACTGAATTTACAATGTGTGTGAAATGATACATTATGGGAATGAATCAGATTATGTATATTTAAATGTTTTCAACATCTCTTTCATTATGTTATAATGATTCTGTGTTCTTGATGAATGTTTGAGTTACACTTGTAATTCTAGATGCTTTCATACAGCATCTGTTGATTGAGATATATTTAACTATATTTTATTTATTTGTAAACTAGAAAACATTCTTTTTTAAATTAGAGTGCTAAACACAATGCTTAATTGTACCATACAATATTCATGTTGGAAAATCAAAACCTTTGGAATTATTCAAATTGCCAAGAACAAATAAAAAAAAACATTTTCTCCTTATGATTAAAATCCATAGAACAGGTTCATTTGTTAAAACCATCCATGCAAGGAATTTAATCTTCATATAATTCTGGTCTAAATATCCTCAGTGAGATTGTATAAGCTACGTTTATTTGTGTCATTTGGACTGAGTTTAAACTATACCCAACACTTACTAACAACAAGGGTATCTTCCAAATAGGAAAAAATAAAATTACTACACTACACTTGATCTTAACCTAAATGCCAAGAAGAGATAACACACTTTTCTAAGAATTTTGAAATACTAATATATAATATTTCAAAATACGTGATACTCTTTTAGCAATCTACAATTGCACTGTTATAGCAAAGTTGCATTTGACTGTTTCTCTGACAACCACATCATTTCTTTGGAATAATAAATTTTATAGTATTTCTAAAAGAGTATTCTATGCTCACAATTCTTTTTTTTTCTTTCTTTTTTTAAAATGTTCACGAACATTGCCATTCAATTATAAAACATTCACAAAACACACCTTTGAATGTTCTACCACAAAACAGGCAGAATTATTTTGCATTTTTCCATTTTTACAATTGTAATCCAAATGGGACTTAGAAAACTCAAGCAAGGGTATTAGAATTAGATTAGAGTGGCCTATGCAGAATTATCTTCAGCTGTGATTTTGAATGTCTGGTAGCACCAGTTACGTTTGTCAAAACTAAAATCAGGCTGGATAACCCTGACCTTTTCATTAATGTGAAACATGGATTGGATATTTAAGATCTAAAAAGCTTTTTTATATTTAGATGCTGTAGACAGCCTATAGACTTTCTCTTTCAGGTTTTGTGTTTTCTCAAGTTGTGCATGTCTACTGGCCTTCCCTAAATACTTTGCAATTCTCTGTTTTTACTCCCATTTCCGTACCTTAGTATTTATGAGTGGTGGAAAAAAACCCCATATCTCCCATCAGCTTAGTCCTTGCACGTAAATTTGCCATATCTGTATGGTCCATGTCTGGGTCAGTCAGAGAGCAAGATTTATACTTCCTGACTTCAGCTGGTTCCAGTGCAGGTCTGTACTTGTGTTAGTCACCCTCAGAATTATTAGAGAAAAAAATACCTCTTAAATATTACTGTGAGCCCCAAATTGTCCTCAACATGTGAAATTTTCATCCCATACTGGGACTACAGCTATCCATGCTGCTGCTCAGGCTTCTCCTATAGCCAACAGAAAAAAAAACCCAGGAGCTTCTGGGGAATGGCTTGTATGATCCATTAGACATGCACTGCTTCCTAAAAGTGCCCGCTTTCTTGCGCTGACAGCAAGGGAGCCTGCACCAGGGGCACATTTGATCATGCCTATTTCTTCTCATTGTGCTTCTGGAAAAGAAGCACAGATTATATTATTTTTCATGTTGCTCCAAAAGCTACTTACACAGGAGAGTAGAGGAGAAGGTTCTTGATAGCCAAGTACCAGACTCTTATTTTTGGTTTCAAGTCAATGGAGAGAAACAACACGAAAAGGACAGTTCTCTATAAGTGAACTATTCAACACATCCTAAAGGAGATATCTAAAATAAGTCAGATGAGTTTTGCCCCAGAAATACCTGTCTCCTGCATTGTCTGCAAAGAATGCTTTAGACCAGCAAGGTCAGAGATGGGCATGAACAACTCAGTAAGATTAATTCTGTCCAGACTCTGTATTGTGTTGGGACAATGACTGTCTCATCCTGTTTATTAATAGCTCCTTAGGTCACATGTAAGACAGTCTGTGCTGTTTTATATATATAATGATTGTGCATTGACCTGAAAATTGTTTTAAGAACTGTTAGCAAAGACAAATATTGAAGTGTATCATATGGAAATTCTTCATCTTACAGGCTATCGAACAATGAGGCTTTCATTCATACTGATAATCCTGGAGGAGTGTTGAGATATGGAACAAAGTCGATGCAGATGTGTTGAATTGGGCAGTGATGTGAAAAGTACAGACAAAAGAAATAAGTGCAAAGACATACTCAGAGGGTGGTACAGGGATAGGACATAAACAAGGCACACTTTGGCACTACAGGTGTGGGAGAAAATGCCGAGAAATTCAGCCACAAAAGAGAAACTTAGAAAGCAGTAATACAGACAGAAATGTGTAAAGATAACAATTGGGAAGCAACTTTGGACTTCTCAGAATAGACAGGCAAGCAAAATGAGTTAATGGAACCAAGATTAAGTCTGAAAGCAGTTAGGCACATTGCTCTTCTTTATCTTTGAGACTGCAACCAAAACATTACAGTTCAAACACAATGTAAAAAATATTTTGGGGGTCATGTAAGTGGCACAAAGCAATTGGTGATTTTAAAAATGTACATCCCTGAAGCTAAATGGAGGAGAGAAGGGAAGGTAGATGAAAATATAGACAGCTTGGCATACTTATATCTGCTGGATAAAGATGTCAGTAGCCCCCTGCACTGTTAAAACCAAGCAAAGACAGGAGTTAAAGAGTGGTATGAAAAAGTATGGGATTGAATGTGAGACCTGTAGTCCAGGGAGCTTTGTTATCAGTGCTGTTTTAGGGACTTAGGAAAAACAACCTAGACACATGGCATTAAGAAAAATATAGAATAAAACCTGAATATCTCTTAGTACATGGGCTGATGTAAATGTCCTAGTGGTCTAAATTGCTGCTATTCTTTTAAAGATGCTCAACTAACTAACATTTTTTGTAAATTGAGTTTGCAGTAATGGCTCTACAACACTAGGGCTTTCCCCTGTGGAGGGGTTTCACATACTCCAAGGCATGAGACAGAAATGAAACCATTTCTTCTCTATTTTACTATTGTATTTGTACAAAAAAGATGGCTTTCTTTCCAAAGAGAAGCTTTTTTTTTTTTTAATTCTTCCTTCTCCATCCTCTTGTTTTCTTGTTTTTTGTTTTTGTTTTTTTTTTTAATGCAGTGCAGAACAGCAGGAACAGATCATTTCAAGGGAGAATCTGGGGGCTCTGCCAGCTAAATAGAAGGCCCAACCTCCTCAGGTTCATGTGTTATCCTGCATCTCACCTACAGATGGTTTGGATGGAGTCCTGGTTTTACCTCACTGTTGGTCCCATGGGCTGGAGGTCTGTAGTGTTAGAGGTGCTAGAGGGAGAACAGCCTGGCACTGACCATTGTTTTTGCCCAGACTAGAGCTTGAGCATTTGACATGTGCACAAGGCCTGGAAGTATCAGGACTCCTCCTGATTCCACCAGGACAGATAAGCCTCTAGGACAGGGACAGTTCTGTGTGTGGTAATCTCTGGTAATTGTTGTAGCTCATCTTTCAGACTTCAACACAAGGATATGCTATAACTTAGTGGGTACCACTCAAAAATAGTCTGCCAAGTCAATGTCCTTCCTCCTGCCAAACATCATTGTCCAGCATGAGCAAAAAGGTAAGTAGAAGTTATGGTTATTTATCAACGACCTAGACTGAAGTCCCAAGACATGGTCTGGATGGAACCAGGCAGGAAAAGTAAGGAGCTAAATTAGATAGCCCAGCGTGCCTTTTTGGTTGATTCTGGAGGACACTGAACCACTAGAACGCAAAACTCTTCCACTTCTAAGTCCTCCATTAACTAATTTACAAGAAAGTCAATGATACTGCTTAAAATTTTGTCATGGTTGAACCATATCTGGGGCTAAGTGATTAATTTTCTGTTATTAAGAAGTCACAATTTTTGTTCTTGACAGCATTTCAATCCCACAAATGGCAACTTCCGTTATTACTTGTAGAGCTAGCTTGGTAATGTGGCAGTGAAATAGTAAAACACATTTTGGTTAAGGCTTGTACTTTCCATCAGAGCCAGTTTTTCTAAGATGTTGGTGGTATAGCTTCTGAAGTTGTCTCTGGGCACAGGAGAGCAGTCATTTTACTGTCTGTTTCTGGATGTGGTTCATTATTGCACACGTTTCCACCGTCCGCCCTCTGATCCAGCGGGATAACAGTTACCTTGGAATGGTAGGTGGGCTCTCCATCAGTGGAGGAAGGAGGTTGGCAGTGGAAAAGCTGGCGAAAGCATTTGTAAAACTAAAACAACAAAAAACCAAACAATTCTAGATATAGCTGCTTGGCAGGTCACGGTTCAGAGCATCTCTATAACATTTTCAATGAAAGGAAACTTTGTTTATTAGGATTGTACTTTCTTTTCAAATAGGGATTAAATATTTTTTCACCATGAATATGTGTTTCTTGCTGCTTAAGACTAAAGTACACTCAAGATTCTGAGAACTTCAGAATCTATATGCTTAGCTTTTCTAACACTGTAGATTCTGTAGAGTGTTAAGCTGTAGAACAATTATAAAATATTTTCAGAACCTTTAATTTATGCTAAAATATTTAATCACAGAAGTAATTGGTTTTCAGTTACTTCACACATCAGGCAGGGAAAAGTCATTTTGATAATCTCATGATACACAGCAGGGAGAACATAGGGTTCTTTTCATTAGGAAGCATTGAAATCCCTGCATTCCCAAACTGCAAAATGAACTTCAGAAAATGGCTTTGCTTAATTAAGAAACAAAAGTAATTTTTATGTTCATTCATTTCACTTCTGAGATCTACCCAAAACACCTTTGATGATGCCAAAGCTGTTGTGTAGAAAAAAGCCCCAAACAACAGTTACATTAATTCTCACCTGTAAGTGCCAAGTGAGGAGAGTTACACCCCTACCTCCCCTGAGAGCTGACAATCCTATTCCACAGATAGAGATACCAGTAATGCTACAAATGCCTCAATACATTTTCTACACAAATGTATTTTCTAAGTGAAATCTTAAAAAAAAAAAGAATGGCGTCCAAAACTTACTTCATGTCACTTTCCTTTTGCATGGCTTTATGAAACAGAAAAATCTTCCAGGAGCTGTGATTGATGTGAAAGTATTATAGTTTAGGCAATGTTGTTGGTAATTATGTGGTACTAGTCCATCTGAAAATGTGCAGCTGCAACAGCAATATTTCTCTTGTTTCAAGGCTATAAAGATTGCAATTGATGGTGCTGATGATAGTGTGCCATTGGCATGTGGCAGAAAAAAATGGGTTGGCATTTTGTGGATTTCTTCTTGCTGGAACAAGGAAGTGGTGAGGGGCTTTTCCTTATGGCAGCACTGCTTTAAGTAGGAATTCATCTCTGGTGCCTCTCCATGAGACTTGTCTGAAGCTGTGGGCTTCTGTGCCACCACTTCATGGGTGATGTTTCTTTATATGCCCTTCTGCATGTGTTGCTGCTTAGAGAGAAGCAAGTGGATGGGAAAAGTGGAATTGGTTCAATTTCAGACTAAGACCAACATTGCAGTAAGGTGGAGATGTTTCAAGGATTCTTGTGATGAATGTTTTGTGGGCAGTCAATAGAATAAATGGGGGGAAGTGGGAAAGAGCAGTCTTCTCACTCAGGAGGCTGGTGGTGACATGCAAGTTCTTTACAGGCTTTTCTCTCTTTATGACTGTTATCCTACTCTGTTGACTCTACAGGGACCACAATCTTTATGTATCAGGGACAAGTGAAAGCTGCTCAAATAAAAGGAACAATTGCTTCACTTAATGATTTTACAGAATGCTTAAGGTGTGTGGCAGCAAAGAAAAGAAGGAAAGGAAAAATATATTGGATGACTGCAGGGAAATTTCTGCAAGAAAAGTGGAAGCTGGTGTTCACTTTTGTTTTCACTTCTTGTGGCAGGTATCCTCATCATGATGTCCATGTGCAATGAAGTGCATGTGTACGAGTACATCCCTTCGGTGCGACAGACCGACCTGTGCCACTACCATGAACTCTACTACGATGCAGCTTGCACCTTAGGGGCCTACCATCCCCTGCTCTACGAGAAGCTCCTGGTGCAGAGGATGAACAAAGGTTTGCAGGATGATCTCTATCGGAAGGGGAAAGTAATTTTGCCAGGGTTCAAAGCTGTCAAGTGCCCCAAACGAAAGAATTTCCCATACTTCTGGAAGTAATTATTTCAGAAACAATGTGCAATAAGGTACTACTGTCGTACTATAAACAAGAAGAGAATACTTGAAAAAATATATCTTAGACCAATCTAGTCTTGAGTCTATAAATTGTAATTAAGTAGCAGGTGTGAGAAATTCTTCTTTTCTGAGCCTGAGTATTTATTACTGCTTTGCAAATAGTTACAGAATAAAAGCAAAAGCTTAGTTCATGAAGGTGCAAAGGACATATTTAGGCAGAAATATAATGTATCATTGTTGGTGTGACTGTCAGAATTTGTCGGTGGTCTCATGCCACATATGCTAGACTGTAAGTTTTTTTAAATGAATTTATTTAATTGTCAAACCTGGGATTGTGAAACAGCCTCCGTTGTTCATGTATGTACAGAGCGGCCAGTTGAACAATGCAGCATTTCCTGTGACTCCATGGGATTTTCACACTGTCCCAGAATGAAGCAATTGCTACTCCAAGCTGTGCAGTCCTTCACTAGAGCAGACTTTAGTGCCTGTTCCTACACAGGCTCAGTTCCAGGCCTCCAGCTGAACAGGGGTTTAGGGTAGCCCTGAAGTGTGTGCAGTCAGAGATGGCTGCACACAGCTAAACCAGTTAAACCACTGGATGTGGTTTTGGATGCCAGTCTCCCATGCTCACACTGACTGAAGGGGGAAGAGAGAAACCATTTCTTTAGAGAAAAAAGAACATATTTGTCACCCAGTTAGGAAGAAAAACTCTCCCTGAAAGGACTATCAGGAAGGTGTGAGATGGAAATGGTGCCTTCCCCCTGTCTGTACAGATACAAAAGATCCAAAGAAAGCCAAGGGAGGCTGTGCAGCATTCACTGATTACACTGAAAAGCAAGCATAGAGGGGCTCACCACTTGTCAACAAAGATAGCATTCAGGAATATAGACATGAATTTTAGGTGTTTCATTGGTATCTGAATCAAAGTCACTTGTTCACAAGTTCTTGCTGTTCAGAAAGGCAAAGTTTTCTGACAAACGAAGATGATATCAGCATTTTTTACTTAATGCTCGAAAGACTATAACCCAGAAAAGCTGTAATGCCTGCAAAAAACCTGACAACAGATTGCATATGGAGATGGTTTGATATTTTCATTCATAACACACAAGGACAATATTCCTTAAGGCAATTCTAAAAGTTAATGCTCTAGAGTGGTTTTCTCTCTTTTTTGGTTTGGTTTGGTTTTTTTCCCACCTGACGGTACATTTTCTTTTAGAGTAAGTTCAGCAGGAATATGTGTACACAAAAGCACAGGTATATCCTACTCATGTCCATCCAGTAAAAAAAGAAGACAGCTGAAAGGGACATTGAAAAGAATAGCTGACTGGTTGTGGTAGAAAGTGTTTTTTGTGTTTTGATTTAGGCAAAAAGCTTTTTGCCAGAAAGGCAAAGAAAAGTAAATAATATTAATTACTATTTCACCTTCAATTGTAATGTGAGGATAATCATAAAATCCTTTTTCTCTTGCTCAGCTCTTTGGGAAGCAGTATTGGAAGGATCTTTTGGAAGGATTATTTTCCTTCCTCGAAATGAGGAATAAATATCTTACATAGGACTTAGCCTTCTTTTTGGGCTTTATTATGATCTTAAGATTCTTCTTGTTGACAGAAATCATGTAGATGATCTAATAACTGTACTTCTGTGTTGTATGGAAAGTTATGTCCATAAGGCATTTTGGTACATATCAAAATTAATAAGTTTTACTCATACTGGGCTTGGACTCTGGATGTATTACACACCAATTTCTTTTTAATGTTATGTGTGGTGGCAACTTTTATTCTTGAAGTTAATAACATTCTTATTTAAATGCATGGAGGATAGATAGCCTACACGGAACTAATCTATTTTTCCATATATTTCATACCCGGTTTGCAAAACATAAGCAGTCTAAACAGTGCAATTAAATATGTCTCTCTCTGCTGTACCCTGGGTTAGCTATGACATAACTGTAAAGGAAGAGAGTTTAGCTTTCTAAGACTAGTAAAGATGCTACTTTTCAATAAGCAGAAACGTCTAGAGTTCCAAAAAGAAAAAAAAATCACTTTGTCTGGCTTGCAACCACTAACTTTTAATTTCGATTTTCACAAAGAAGAAAAATACTAACTGCATTGCTCAACCACCCAGAGCAGGATGATATAGTTTTATTTATTCTCTCAATAATTTTTCAGAATAATCAACATAGCTGTTGCTTATACAGAACAAGGCAAATTATAATGTTTCATGTAACAAAAGCTAAGCATACCGACTCAGTACATCATTTATATATCAATGCAGAACCAGGTCTGAGATGTTATATAAGGAACTGTATGTTTTTTAATTTACTGGACTGCACACTCAAGCCCTTGCAGCCAAAACTTTTCTTTGCCATATCCTTCTTTATATGGCAGTCGGTCCTCCTTCCATAAGTGCAAATGCAGTTGTCGTAGCACCATCACCTCAGAAGATGCTGCAGAGCTGTGCTGCAAACGTTTGCTCACAGAGGAGGAAGACCAACCTGTGATGCCAACCTTTAAAAAATGAACCTGGAATGGCTTTCTAACACTGGTATCCACTGTGATGTTTTACTGGTCTGCCTGCTCAAACACATTGTGGTTGTTTAAAGAGCATTTTCTCTCCTACCTTGTCTTGTCCTCCTTCAGACTCTGGCACAAGTGCGAGTGTGTTTGATCTCCTAATTGAGGGCTCCCCTCCACTTGCTGCAAGGGGTGAAGGGGCAGAAATTAAGGGGAAACATAGAGGACCTGCAGAGCTGCTCCTCTCACCACTTCTTACTCTCGGTGGCATTGGCATTCTGGCTTTTATAAGAGCCCTCAGAGTGTTTTAGAATTCATGGGCATTTCCCCGTCCCTTGTGAGACCTGAGAAATGTTTGCAAAGAACCACATTCAGTAAATTTAAAACAGTCGACGTGTAACAACACTGAACCACAGCTCTTCTAAAAATAATGGGTGAGAGTGCTGGGTTTAGATGCATGGTAAATGCAGCAATGTGAAAGGAAGTGTATTTTCTCACCAAGATCATGGGACTTTTTGGGGAAAAGATACAGGCATGGCTTCATAGCTCTCCCATGTGGCTTCCCACACTAACAAGAGTGGGACAGCACCTAGACAAGAGAGGTTTGCACAAACCTGGTGCATCTCAAGATGCATCATCAGCCAAGCAATTACCTCTGCTATTGGGCCCCTGAGCTCCCTTTGCACTTGTAGGCTTTAAATTTATGGAATTTTACTGACAAGGAGGAACAAGTTGCCTTCAAACACTATTGAGCCTCATTTCTGTGCCCTGGTGCTGTGGACAACAGTTAAAGTTAACTGGAACAAACCAGAAACACAGCAGCAGTTTAAGGAAATGCACTGAGTTTATGCTGAATTTAATTATGCTCCTCTTTCCCCACTGTGAATTCTGTAACTTTTCTGACTTGCGGTGCTCTGTTATTTTATGCATTCAGTTTTGAATGGTTAAATCAAGGTATTCTTTTGTTAAATTAGAAAAAATTATGAAATATTTTGCCTCATTTTGAGCCAAAATCTTTTTACTAGAAAAAAATCATTATTTTGTTCAATTCCTCTACAGTTTTAAAGGTTACCTCAGCATAAACTCATAGCTCAGTCTGTCCTTGGATTAAACTACTACATCTTTTTTTTACCTTGTGCAATTTTATGCTGTAGAAACTCTGGTAAATTCAGTGAAATTACCATGACGTACCTTTGGAGAGAGAGAAGGATGATATAAACACTCTAATATATTCTGTACAAATTTAATTTAAGCATTTCTTGTCTTTGGTAAAGACATTTTCTTTGGTGAAGACATCTGAATTCTGAACTTGTTGCTGTAGATCTCTTGCCAAAGTCAGAAAAACCAAAAGAGTTGTTTTTTTTAAATGAAGACAAGTGTCTACATTCACTGGTTGCACAGACTGAGCACAGTCATTTAAGAGACTGATTGAATTGAACAGGAGTTCAAAACACATGTGGAGCAATCCCTAGTGGGGTTTTTTATTTCTTTTTTCTTCAGAAGTTTTTAAGGATGGAAAATGCCGGTTGGACAGTGACACAGATGTTCTATGAAGGGAGTATTAAATGCATTGGCTGCAACAATAAATGGTTACTATTTTTGCCTTCATGCTTTCTAAGGTTGATGCATATTTAAATGAAATCCTGCTTTGAAGTAGGCAATTCAGAAGCCTGCTGTTAAAATTATTTGAATCTTTCCCAGCATCTGTCCTCTCACACACAAGGAGGATACCTGATTTAAAAATGTTTGAAATTAAAGTAGCCCATGTCAGGGGTACGTGAATCACTTAATGAATTTTGACAGTGCAGATGTCTTCTTTCTGGCTTAGCAATCAGATTCAGAATTTTGTTCTTGAAATAAGAGTTGTGTGTAAAAGCCTTACTTTTTCTCACACCATCTCATCACTCTTTAAAATATGTAGTCATTGAACTATTCAAATATAGACTGTGTACTTTTTTAATAGCTTTGAGAATTATTTTGTATGATGATTTTTTTAAATGAATGTGTACTCTAATAACAAACCTTAAGATTTTACAGGAGTCACATTTTTAAGCAGTGTTTGTATACATTTTAACACTTTTTATATTTTCTATTATGATTTTGTATATTTTTATGTATACACAGTGTACAGATTTTTTCCTGTAAATAAAACATTTGTTTTCATTTGTTTAGGAGTGCTGGTCTTTTCATATTGCCTTAAATGAATGACACTGAAATACAGGTGGAACAAAACAGGGAAGGTGCCTGTCAGTTCTGCCCACAATTTCAATGAGATCTCAAATGGAAATGGACAGCTAATCTGACAAGGAGGTATCACAGTAAACTACATAAAAGAGGCAAATATTGTAAAGCCAATTTTATTCTAAAGTGAACATGTGCACCCGAGCAGATGTGCTAGGATTCCCTGGGACAATGTATTCACCATACTGCTCAGTCAATTTCTGAGCAGTAAATTTCTGGTGATTGTCAAGCAAGGAGGTCATGGATTGTCAGGTAGGGAGGTCATGCTCTGATGACTTGGTGATGTACTTGAAATGGTGATAGACTTCAGCTAAGTGGCTGTGCTACCCATTCAAGGAATCCAGTGTTGTCTTTAAGGGAGAACAGGCTTTTTAATAAATTATTAATTAAAATTAAAAACAACTTACCAAAGGGAAAATGTAACTTGCCCTTCAGTCTGTGATAAGTACTGTATAATTCAAGCACAACAAGCCTGCTCACATCCATTAAATGTGGGGCATACTGCTGCTTTTTGGTAGTGCTTGAATTACACAGGGGCCTGAGTTGGGCCAGTGGAGGTGCTAATCAGTGTTTTCATCCCAGGGACTCATCTTGAGTCCTTGCCAACGAGACAGCTGGTTACACATTAGTGGAATGATAACAGTTGGATTGCCATCATGTACTCTCCTGGCAGACAGTAATCACACAGCTCATCCTGTGTATTGCACCAGCTCCTGACAGGCTGTGTTGAGGGGCTAGTTACTGCCATGATATGCAAGTAACGCCTCTCAGAAAACTCCCATCAGTGAGACACTCTAGAGGATAAACTGAATGCTGGGACCTATGCATGAAGCAACTAATTGATACCTTTTAAATCCAGCAACTTTCATTTTTTTATTTAAAAAACTAGCAAGAAAATATGATCATTGTGTTCACCGTCTATTAAATGCTCAGTCACCTTCACTGTCTGTGACATCAGAGAGGACATTCTTGTCTCACTTAATTCAAACTGTACCTCAGCAGGAGGTGTCAACCCATTAACTATCTTGTGTGGGGTACAGAGGACATCTTGCTTACACACCATTCTTCAGCAGGGACAGCTAGAGGAGGTGTGACATTACCTTTCTGATAGTATCTCAGGGAGCATTGGAGGCAACTCATTTTCAGGTTTATTCCCAAAATTGCACTGCCCTTTTTTGAACAACATACCTTTATTGGAAGTACCTTTTAATGTTTTACTCATAGAAGCCAGCTGTGTTTCTCTTCAGTAGTTCTTAGGGACATAGTTCTATGGACAGGTGAAACTTCATACAGACATTTTGGTCTGTTTATTTGCATTATTAGCTTGCCTGTTGTGATCTGGCTGGAAGACATATCTCAGGGTTTTTAATTCAGCTTGCTGTCTTGACTGCAGCCCAAACTTGTTGAAGTGATTCTCCCCCTCTCCTCTGCTCTGGTGAGACCCCAGCTAGAGTGCAGCATCCAGACCTGGGACCTCCAGCATAAGAAGGAGATGGACTTGTTGGAGCAAATCCAGAGGAGGCCCACAAAGAGGTCAGATGTCTTGAGCACCTCTTTTATGAGGAAAGGCTGAGACAGTTAGGGTTGTTCAGCCTGGAGAAGGCTCTGGGGAGACCTTATTGTGTCCTTTCAGTATTTAAAGTGGACTTATAAGAGAGATGGGACAGGCTTTTTAGTAGGGCGTGCAGCAGTAGGACAAGGAATAATGGTTTTAATCAAAAATAATGTAGATTTTAACTAGATACAAGAAAGAAATTTTTTATTATAAGCACGGTGAAACACTGGAACAGGTTGTCCAGAGAGGTGGTAGGTGCCCCATCCCTGGAAATAGTCAAGGTCAGATTGGATGAAACTTTGAACAACCTGTCTGAGTTGAAGAAGGTCCTGATCATTGCAGGGGGGTAGGACTAGATGAGCTTTAAAAGTGACCTTCCAACCCAAACTATTCTGTGATACTGTGATAAGAACAGCTGGTCAAGCAAGGGAGGACTCAGTCTTTTACTGTAATCACATCCACCATCTTCTGCAGGTAACTGCACCTGCAGCAGTGATTAAACAGTATCATACTGTGGGACTGCATCAATCAGTGTGAACAGAGCACTAGCACCTATGGTTTGTTTTCCAGGACTTATGTTCTAGCTTTCCTGGTATCTTGGTCTTTCCAGGGTCACAAATTTGATTGCTTCATCAGAGTAGCATGGATTTATCTGCTGTACCCCAAAATTTACCAATGTCTACTCCATATAGGTATCCTTCCTTGTTTTTTTAGATTCTACTTTCTTACAAACTAAGTTACTCCAAAGACTGCACTTCAAGGAAATGGCAGTACTGTTATGGAAGTATAGTCTGACCCCAAGTCTTTATGCCTTAATAACCAAGGCAAATAAGCCCTGTTATTGCCTTTTCCTAAAATACAGCTAAGTAAATGCTTATTTAGTTTGATAAAAATATCGACTGATTATATTAAACTAACTGAGAAGTATTATAATGAAGTAATATAGTGGGGTTTTTTTAAACTGGTGGCAGAATAGCCAGCAGAAGACTGGCAGCACAAGTAGGTTGTGACAGATCACAGGGGGAATCATTGCTGGTCTGATTGCTGGATTCTTAGAGATTATTAAATAGAGGTCCAGTAAAAGGAAGGAGGAGAGACAAGGAATTATGAAAGACACCAAGAAAACAGAAAGAAACAGCTAGAAGATGTACCATAACAGATAGGCAGGACTGTGGCTTTTTCCTAATAGTCACTTGGGTTTGGCATTTTCTTTTCTTACGTTTTTTCCTGCACTTTTGAAAGAAACCCAACTCATCTGTTGGTGCTTGTATTGCTGCTGTCAGGTTTAGTGTGCTGGGATGTGATCTTAAAATAAAGAACTATAGTAGAGCTAACAACAGACTTCTGCTGGAGTTCAGCATCTTTGTAAACAAATTAATCCTACAAATTTAACTGAGAAAAGACTAACAGGGTTACACTGCTACATTCTGAACAACCTCCTCCCTGTGCTTATAGTCATCTGTATGATAACTGAAATAAGACAACTAATTTCCTCTGGTGACCTGTTTCTGCACATAGACAAATACAAATCAAATTTCTACTTGGTTCCAAGATGCTGACAGGTAGGGGATAATTACTGTAGCAATAATTCCTTATAAGCTTGTGAGAGGACTCCAGAACCCTGAGGGTTATGGAAAGCAAGCAATAGGCATCACAGGTGCCTTGGTTTTATGGAAGCAGCCAGAGGGGAAAACTACAGCCAGTGCTGACTCCAGGCTGTGTCAGCTGCTGTTAATTACCTTGCTCCCAGTCAGTTGTCTGACTGCAGCTG